ATTGACATTAATTTAAAAAAAATACAGTGATACAATTCAACCGAACATTTATTGATTTAGCAAAGTTCTTAAAAACATCCCTCATTTTATTTCTAAAATACAAAACCTGACAGTGATTTTACAAAATAAAAGCTTCTCACAATTGGCTTTGATTAAAAAAAAAACATTTATTTCCTCTGTAAAATAAAAGTTCTTCAGATGTAAAACATTTTACCAAGGTTTGACTGAGTTAGTTTTATTGTGGAAACACTTCACCTTAACTGGTGGTGATTTATTTTGTAGAACAGAATGTCACACATTGCTTTATGTGGTTTGCAGTTTGGTTTGGAGGAGTTGTTTCTTTTTATTTCTTTTGTTGTATTTATAACATAATAAAACACGAACACATCTCTTAACAAAACAGTAGAATCTGACAGATTCTGTTTGCTAGAATATATTATAGTTTTTATTGGAGTTGTGTTTAAAAGTAGTTCAGTTTTATTGTTTTGTGGATGACATGTAAATAATAACTGTTTGCTTTCAGCGCTGCAGTTTCTGCTCTTACAGATGAATTAGGCTGAACTAAACCTGAACAAAGCTTTTATACTTGTTCTTGTCAGRTGTCATAAAACCTGAGTGTGTGATGCCTTTTGGTTTAAAACCTGGTTCTGTGTGTTTCTTGCCGTAGGTCTGGTTCCAGAACGCTCGGGCCAAGTTCAGGAGGAACCTGCTGCGGCAGGAAAACACCGGGGTGGACAAAGCTTCTGACGGCTCCACAATGCAAGGCGGGACACCCTCAGGCCCCGCCTCTGAGATCTCCAACGCCTCCATGAGCCCCTCCAGCACTCCTACCACCCTAACAGACTTGACGAACCCCACCATGCCCACAGTCACCTCTGTGCTCACCTCAGTGCCGGGTGGTATGGACATCCATGAGTGTCGTAGCCCCTCACAGACCACACTGACCAGCCTCTTCTGATGGTCGGAGCACTAGTCCCCTCCTTTACTCCCCCTCAAACTCAAACACACACACACACACACACACACACACACACACACACACACACACACACACACACACACACACACA